CGGAAACCCTATCGGATACTCAACCTATCAGTATAAGGCTGCATTTCTACATCAGGTATCGTATTCTACCTTAGTCTTAATATCTAGTTCAAACTTAAACTTACTTGAGCGTCAGAATGTTTACCTCTCTTATGCAGGTCCTTCCTAGCTAAGTGAAACTGAAGCTCGTTCCAATCACCTTCGTTAACTAGTTCGACCTTGACCGATTTCATTGCACAAACAATGAAAGAGACTTAAAGTTAAACTTCGAAAGACAATTTGGGCAAGATGACGTTGGACTATTAGAGTCGTGATTTCGACTATTTGAGTCACGATTTCAATGGAATACGACAAAGTTGCTATTGTGATTCGAAATACTATAGAGAACACACAGCAATGAAGACGACTCACGTTGTAGAAGAGGAAAGCTGAAGGCACTAAAAAGAAATCGTAAATGATTTGGGGCTGACGACTCTCATTTGGGTGTAAAAGAAAGAAAATTGGAGTCGTGAACTATTGATGCAGAAATTTTGCCTCATGGGATTCTGCCAAATTCGCACCAATCTTCAAGAATAAAAGGGATCGAAGAGACCTGCAAAACAGAATAGCATTAAAGACCGGTGTGTCTCTTGCCACACAGGCTCCGATGCTTAAGTAAGAATTGGAGTAGTTGGGTATAAAATGTAGGGTGTTGTGAGTATAGCAAAGAGTAGAGATTTGTAGCATACCTTTAGGGTTTGACTTACTTTCCTATTTATAGAAGTTGAATCATGATCCTCTAGGGATTGTGGAATTTGAATCCTGATACATCTAGGATATCTGGTTATCTGAATCTAGGGAGATCTTCTCCTTTTGAATATAGGATATGAATATAGAATATCTTCTCCTGAATCTAAAGGTCATCAAGATATCTTCCCTTTTGAGTCCCTTTACTAAAAGGATTTGAGATTTTATCATCCATAACGATAGCCCCCACTCTCAAATTTGAAGATTATCAGACTTCTGCTTTGAGAGTATTTTGTTGTATGGTTGGCTACAATCAAGTCTCTTGGGCTCAGCTATATGGTTGGTTTTAACCATTAGATTTTGGCCTTGGGATCTAACTTTCAGCAGGGCCAGTGGTACTTCCTTTATGTTTCTAACCTATTTGGCTTTTGCCTATGGTTTTATACCCTAGGGTTTCTAACCTATTTGGCTTTCGCCAATGGTTTTATACCCTGAGTTTAGTTGGCATCCTTAGGTTTCTAACCTATTTGGCTTATGCGGGTTTTTTACCTGAGTTTAATCAATACCCTTGGGTTTCTAACCTATTTTGGCTTTTGCCAAATAGTTTTATACTCTGGGTTTCATTGACTGGTTTGGCATGCCTGCTTTCTGAGTCTGTCTTAGTTCGAGTTCCTTGATCAGCTGTTGATTAACTTACTCATGCCTCCACTTAAGGAGGTTTTGTTTGGGCGTCAAACAAATAATTTTCTCAAGTATAAAACATAGGAAATAATTAATTTTCCTCAAATTTGGGCATCATAGTAGAATAAACAATATGCTTAATTTTTTATTTAACAATTCATCACCTTCAACCATCTTGAGCAAGAATAACTCTCTGTTTACCATCCTCCTCGGATGACAAGCATCGTCTGAACGTTGTTGATCTCTCCAGAGTTCATATTGTTAGCTTTTAGATCTTAGTCGTTCCCATAGACGGCGCCAATTGTTGATGCAGAAATTTTGCCTTCTGGGATTCCACCAAATTCGCACCAATCTTCAAGAATAAAAGGGATCGACGAGACTTGCAAAACAAAATAGCACTAAAAATCGGTGTGGCCATTGCCACAAAGACTCCGATGCTTAAGTTAGAATTGGAGTAGTTGATCAGTATAGAATGTAAGGTATCACTATGCATTTTTGTTTGATGTTAGTACCAGCACACACTATCACTAGTAATACAAGGAAGTATTCCAAACTCATCTCCGTAGGAACTAAGTTAAACTTGATTTTGTGAATTTGATTGAGTGTTGTAGTTAGTGGCAAATATTTTGAGTGGGGCGTCGAAAACTAGGTAAATAGTATTGGCTTTTCTGCCTTAACTTTGAATATATACACAAGTACTAGAAAGCATTCCACACTCTAGACCACGATGTGTCTTGCATTTTCTAATAAGACCGTTAAAGAAAATGATCCGTTAAAGAAAATGATGACACACCACTAGGATGATCATAGGTTTATTTGATCCTAATCCTGACGGATTTATGCACTTCTGCCTTTGCATTTGTATTTTTTTATTCACACAGATGAGGATGAAGCATTTTTTTTTTGGAACACATTCAAGTGGAGAGCTAGGATCATTCCTACGCAGATGGAATTCATAGCCTCTCAATAATGAAAAGTGCAAAATGTACACTTCTTGGTAATCCAAGAAAGATTAACCCATGATAAGGTTATCAATTAGAGAACTGGTGGACTTGAGGAGTAAGAGGTGGGACTAGGGGCAAGACAGTAATGTCGTCCAACTAGGACCATGAATCATTTTGTGAAGGATTAGATGAGTGATTATAATTATATCTCTCGACATAACTCATTTACAATGTATGAGAGTGCAATCCATTGTCTGTAGTGGAGTCACCTTCAGTTAATGGTTAATTTTATTAATTAAATAGTTTAATTAATAAATTATTGATCATTGGAGTTCCCAACCATAAGTCCACAAGGTCCCTCTGCTAGCTTGTTGACCTCTGCAGCGAACATGTTGGGAGAAATTAAATAATGTTATTGTTTAATGTAGAAATAAAATGTTTAATTTAACTTTTAATAATAGATTGAATTTATTATTAATTTAATGGGATATGACTCGGCTAGTTTCGTAGAAGGCTTGTTTCATATAAGGGTCCATAGACCCAAACTCATAAGATCGAAGATAACACAATAATTAAAAATATTAAAAAAGTGAAAACGATCTTTAAAAAAAATTAAAATGATATTTTCCTTGGAAATAATTTACCATGGGTAGTGTTTTAGAAAGTATAACCATACACTAGCTTCTAGTTTTAGGAAGGTAAGGAGAAATATTTTATAGAGAGCACCCACTGAGATCCTTCTACTCGAACTACCCTAAGAGCATTATTGAGATGCAATGTGGATGGTGCAAGGATCACGTCGTTAAAAGATGTATGATGAGAGCTTTGGAGATGGAATAACTCATTAAAAGGCTTTCCTCGAACCACTACTGCAGATGGGTCATGCATATTAATATTTGCATAGAACTCGCGTACATACGAATGGTAGCTGGATCAGCTTCTAATAGAACAGCTTCTAACCATGGCTTGTAGTGTAAGAGCTAGAAACAAGGTTTGGATGCTTGTCATTGAGTGATACAAAACTTATCTTAGGCAGCATAGTTTCAAGTCTTCATGCTTTTGTTTAGCCTTCTCCCTTACAATTTTTTTTACTATTCCCTCAACATGGGAATATGATCACTGAACCTTGTTACTTCCTCTTATTCTCTCAAATATAAGCACTAATGGATGGGAAAAACCTTTCTTAAAAAGGATAAGTAATGTTGATGCAATTTTTGGAAAGTTGGTTGGACTAGAAGTCGGGGTTAACTAAACTGTATAATTCGATGGGATTGACCGTTGAGTGATCTAGGACACGTTGGGCCTAGATAAAAGAAACTATGACCCGATGAGTTGTGAACAAGGGAAGGACGAGATCTTGTTGTTTGAAAGAAAGTTGATAATATACACAATATCTTGGCTTTGGAAGTTGAGGCGAAGACAACCTGCAAAAAGAGGAGGTGAGTGGATGTCTGCATGTTGCCAACCTACTGACATATTGATGCTTAAGTCGGTATATGAGCTTAAGAGGAGAGAAGTAAAAAATGGTTTGAGAGGAATTAGCGTATCTTGGAGGGTTATGGGCCCTTTCTATTTATAGGAGAGGTAGTAATGTGAACGAGTTGACCTTGGGCAGAGCTGACCTATGGGCTGCCAAAAAAAGGGTGGTTGATGACAGATTCGTTTGACATAGCCGCACGCATAAGCACACAAGACCGAGGCTGCACAAGACCAAGGTCGCGCAAGGCCGCTGTCACGTAGGGTTACACTACACAGTGGCCGTACAAAGCCGCACAATGGTTGCGTGCCCTTACTGCACAAAGGCCACCAATCGCCCGGTTGCACTATTACTGGGTAGTTTTTTGTAGGTTTTTCTCGAACCCAAGCACGAAACGAGTCTTTCCTAGCTTAATTCGTTCTTGCTCGGTAAATTCTCCCTCAACAACTAGCATGGAACTACTCTTCCGTCTTGAGAAGAATGACCCACTGCCTTCCATTTTTTACAAAATGCTCTTGCATTTCTTCTTCTTGGAAGGGACATGATTGTAGTTCCTCCATGGGCTACTATGATTCAACCACTACAAAAGTTTTGTTTTGCTTTCGAATTGCAAAAGAGCTATGAAAAATATTTCTTGGGAAGCTCATTTGTCCTTTATATTCCCGAGGAAGACTGTGATCATGCTTGTTCCATATCACCTAGGAAAAGATAAGATGGTATACATGTAAAGGACAACATCCTCCTCATTGGTATGTGGCATGCATTTTACTTAAAATCAAAAGTATAGTCACGTGAACTTAGGTCCACGAAGTCGACAATATGGTCCACTATTTATGATAACAAGGTTTTAGTCGAAAGAATTAATCTTAAAATATTTTATCTAGTGTTTAATCTAAATTTGCTTTAATGTGTAACTTTGTTTTAACAATTTTTTTCTTCCTTTAAGTCCATAACTTATCATTTCAATTTATTTACACAAAAGAAATTTTAGAGGCAAAATATGATGTAGCACATTTTATTTTTCCAATCTACTAAATTCATTTTGTTCACTTGAACTAGTTATTCTACCAATATATTTGTGCTGTGATGATTCTTAAAATATTTTAGCATATAGTTCTTTATTCGACAAGATTCAATATCCAGCATAAAATATATTATTAATTATACTTTGACATTCACGTATTTTTATGCAGGTGATAATTATGGTACTCAAAAAATATTAAATAATGTGGCAAATACTAACATATATAATCAATATCCCACTCTAAGTGATAGTTTGGATGAGCAACTGAAAAATGACAGTAAAAGTAAGTGTTTCTTTATTATAGTCTTAAAAAGAAAAAACATATGGAATTCAGCTTAAAGCTATCTACTACCTCATATTTTAATGCAGGGACTACTATTATTAATCAAGAAATATTTGGAAATGGCATTGCTGTTCAAAACAATATATATAATAATAGATATTACATTCAGCATACTAGATCGGAACCAGATTTCCCTTCGCTTGGGATGAAGTCCGACGATGAACCTGGTATGCATAGTTTATTTCTTATTAAAATTTATAATATAGTTTCTACATCAAACTATTACTCTTGAGTTGAGCAAGTTCTTCGTATTATTGGTTGGCACAACCAACTCAATGATTTAAAGCATCTAATATTTTAAATTGAGATAAGAAAAGTCATTCCATATCGTATCAACTATTTATTAACAAATTAATTTAAATATTTGTTGATATTGAGAACTTAATTGAAAATACTTGAGGTTATTTTGAAAATCTCTACGATCCTACTTTGCATGTATGAACATGCTGCCATGCATGCAGCTTGTCATAGTCTCCTGCGACGCTTAGGCATGGACGATCCCTAGGCACTGTCCTCAAGTCGGTTCAATTTGGCTCCTTGTTACTCTCTTGTTATCTTATGCACTTGAGGTCAAATCATCCCCGCTTTGAAAATGATTCACCCTCGAATTCACGTTTTGACATACAAACACGTTTTGACATACAAACAGAGAAGGCAAGTTAGTCTCCCTAAGTGCCAAAGTAGGATCATGCTTACCATAAAAGGTTTGTTGTTGTTGATATATTAAAGGTTCATATTCATCATCTCCATGAACTATAAAGAAAGAGTTAAAAATACTAGAAAGAGAGAGACATCAAGCCTTTTTTTTAAAAAACGAGGCTTTGAAATTGAGGAAGAACAAGTGTTATAGAAAATGGAAGCTTTCTTGACCTCTTTTGGCTCATTTTGTAAGCATTTTACCATTAACCTTTGGAGTTCTTGGCCTCATTCTTCCTCTTCTCAAGATTTCTATAGTCCACATTGACTTCTTTGGAAGAGAGAGACAATAGAGTATAATTATTTCCATCAATAGTGGACACCAAATGGATTAAGTGAACAATTACATATTTAACTTTTCTATCAAATTGTCAAGGTCTCCCAAGCAACATCCTCGATCTCCACAGGCAGTATATCACAAAGGATTTCATCTTCATACTTCGTTATGGAAAAGGAATTAACGCGGGCTTATTTCCTTTAATCTCTCCATAGACACCTAGCCATTTGAGTTTCTACAAGGCTGGGGTGAGGTTTACTCTCTAAGTTGATCCTATCCGTTTGTATTATTTGCTCACCAAATTTTTACAACTCCCCCTTATTTATAAATATACAATTAGGGGATGACTTAATGGCGCACCTAGTATGGAAAATACTATCTCGTTCCTCCTTTTTCTTTCTTCCTTAGGTAATGACTTAAGTGCCCTCCTAATAACGGTCTAAGTTGAGATAATTTTGGTCAATCCATTTCTTCATCACTCTTTAGAGCATTGCTAGGTCCTTATGAAAACATAAAAAGAAAATTAGGGATTGGTTTATTAACAAAAGTAATTATGAAATACACCATACAAGGTAATGTTTATATAAGTTAAATCATAAATAGTAAGAAAATACTAATCTACCATCAAGAACTAATAATAATAAAGATAATAGACTAATAATAATAATAATAATAATAATGATAATAAAATTTATGCTAACATCCGCGCAAACTCACGATGCTACAGGTATAAGCATTAAGAGTTTATCAGATAAAACATTGAAAGCGTGAACTGGAGTGTGTCATGGTAAACACATATCAGCAATATGTAGAGAAGAATGAACAAAAGGCAATGTAATAGAGCCATGCTAAAGATGATGACGAGTGATAAGATAAGAAATTTCAATATGTTTGGTTCGCTCATGAAAAAAAATGAATTGCGCGTAATCTAAATCACAATCTGATTGTCGCAATAATAATGGAGCAAGATGATGAAGATAAACGTCCATATTTGCAAGTAGCCAACGTAACCAAATAATTTTGCAAGTGGTTGATGTCATTGCACGATACTCAGCTTCTGAAGGAGATCGAGAAATGACATTTTGTTTCTTACTCTTCCACAAAATATGTGAATCACCAAGGAAAATACAGGTTGAGTTGCAATAAGTAGGATCACCAGCCGCATCAGAATCAGAGTAATCACGCAATTCTAAGGAGGGTGTGGAAGGAAACAAAAAACTTTACAACTTAGTGCCTCGAAGATACCTAAGAATACGTGGTAGTCAAATGAATTATAGTGGGAGCAGTGACAAACTAACAGTGACTAACTAACTAACCACATGAATAGCATGCGTAATATCTGGACAAGACATAGTAAGATAGACCAAACTCCCAAGAATAATACGATATAAATTAGAATTCGACAAAGAAATACCATCAGATAGAGAATACCAAGCATAGGATTCAAGAGGAATATCAAACAAATCATATATATACTATGACTGAGATAAGAGATAACCTTTAAGAGAATAGGCAACCTCAATGCCGAGAAAGTAGTGCAACATGCTCAAGTCTTTCACAGCAAAACAATGAGAAAGCTCAAATTTTAAAGATTCTATTTCGTCACAGTCATCACCAGTAATGAACATGCATGTCATCAACATACAAAGATAGTATGATACAATTTGCACTTGTACATTTGATAAATAATACAGAATCATGATGACTAGGACTAAAGTCAAGCAAAGTAACAATTGTGGAGAACTTCTCAAACCAAGCACGAGGTAATTATTTAAGCTCATAAAGTGCTTGAGAAGCCTAGAAACTTCACTGGGTTGGTGAGCGACACTAGGATGAGGAATCATATGAACTTCTTCATGAAGCTCACCATTCATAAAAGTATTCTTAATATCCAACTGATATATTCTCCATCAGTGAATAAAAGCCACTACAATCATAGTGTGAACAAACATTATTTTACAAAATGAGCACATTTTTCTTCATAATCCATTCCATATTCTTGGAAGTAGCCTTTAGCAACAAGTCGAGTTTTGTATTGTTTGATGGATCCATCTGGTTTAGTTATAATCTTATAGACCCAATGAGAGCCAATAGGATGGTAATGGAACCAAATCTCATGTGTGAGTTTGAGGTAGAGCAGTAAGTTCCTCAGTCATATCATCTTGCCAACGTAGATTACAAACAACCTTTCTATATAGGAAAAAAGGTTCAGAGAGATTATTAATAGAAGTAACAAATGAAGCAGAAGAACTATAAGAATAGGAGTAAGTAAAAATTGGTTGTTTAAAAGACTTACGAACATGAGTGGACTAGTAAAGTGGAGCAGCATTCGTAACCTATGGAGATGATTAAGTCGCCATAGGAATTGGGGAATTAGATGTGGATGTCTCGGTAACCAAAGTATTAGATTCTGCTGTGCTATTAGTAGGAGCAGTGGGTGAAGCTTCTTCGATGTCAGTATTGAAAGGATCAATGTGAATGAGATTTGAACGGGTCAAATGATGGGAACTAGCAGGAACAGAAAAGAGGAATATGCTTTAAAAGCATAAAATGATGAGAGATGTACAATTTTTTACTAATTAAATCAAAACAACGATATCCCTTTTGACCAGCATCATAACCCAAAAATACAAATAACATTGACCGAGAAGACAATTTATTGTGTTCGACGTCGGTCGAGAACAAAACAGGTACTACCAAAAACACGTAATGAGGAATAATTAGGTACTGTCCAACTACAACTTTTCAAACAGAGACAACCCTGAATTATGCGAAGTTAGAATTTTGTTCACCATATGTGTTGTAGTAGTAAGAATCCCTTCCCCCCAAAACACGCTACATCAGCCGACACCATGAGTGTCGGCTGATGTAAAGTCTCATCCGAAACAAGTATTTTGGAAAAGTTGTTAGAAGTTTATTCACCCCCAAATCACAACAAAAACATTTTATTACGCGGAATGTTAAGTTTTCACAAGCGCTTATAAGTCGTTTAAAATATTAAAATAGTCAAACCTATGTTTCATAATATAAATCCAAGAATAACGAGTGTAATCATCAATAAAAGAAACATAATATCTAGAACTCCCTTTAATGGGTACAAGAGAAGGTCCCCACACATCGGCAATGCACAAGATCAAAAGGAGCAAGAGAAACTTAAGTACTTTTGGAAAAAGGTAAGGCAGGGAACTTTGCTAGTTTACAATCACTACAATCAGAAATATCATGACTATCTAAATGACCTAAAACTCCTGTAGACACTAAAACACGTAATCTAGATGTATAAACATGACCTAAATGAGAATACCATAGTTAAAAAACTAAAGATGAATGACTCAAGTTAAATAAAGATAAGTCTACGGTAGAAGTTGCAACATCTTATACTTTGAATTGATCCAAAACATATAACCCCTTGAGCCAACACTTGCTAATGGCATAAGAGTGCCATCAACAGTCATAACCGATCTAGAAGAATGAAAAGATAAGAAAATAAAAGAGGACTAATTATGAGACATATGATAAGAGGCACCTGAATCCAAGACCCATAAGGTAGATGATATACTTGAGATATCAAACTATGAAAAACTTTTAGAAGAGGAGGTCATCATACTATGAGACTACGAATCTAGGAACTTCTAAAATTGCTCAAACAGTATGGATCAAAAGACGAGGATCCCATCAAATAATCTCTAATAATCAACATGAGGACGAATGACAATCTACCTTCAAGAACTAATCTAGCCTCAGTAATAAGAAAAGTAATTATGAAATACACCATATAAGGTTTCTATAGGTTGAACCCCAAATAATAACAAAAGGCTAATCTACCCTCAAGTACTATTAATAATAAAGATAATAGACTAATAGTAAAAATGATAACAAAATTTATGCTAGCACGTTCTTCATCTATTTGGGACAATTGCTAACTTTATTAAAAATGATCATTCTCCACCTTTTGTTTTTCAAACTTTATTTCTCCTTCCAAAATGAATGTTGGTCCTCTTATTAGGAAAATCACTACTATAATAATGTATCCCATGAAACTTAAAGCATCGAACATCCTTAATTATCTAGGTTGGGGATCGAGATTCTTACCAACTCATATTTGTTGTCCTACGTGTTTGTTTTATCCTTAAGATTGAAGTCCCAAGGTTTACTATCATAATTCAAAGATGGGATAGAATTAAAGGCTTAAGT